GCAAATGTACAACGTTTCAACAAGGTTTTGTCATCATCAAATGACAAAACCTTGTCGAAACGTTGTACATTTGCTGTCATGTTAAACTTATATTAAAGTTTTTCTTCATTATCCATTTAAGCCGTCTCCAGCCATTATTAATTTAACAGCATATTTTCAATAAAGAGTTTTAATATAATACTTATGTCTTTCAGACTATACCTTCGACTTTAATCTATCAGTAAATATCTTTTTCGTTATCTTTGAATTTTCAATCGCACATGATGTTTTGAAAGCCATACTATCTACAGCTGGAAAGGTACATCTGTGAGACTAGTTGCTTAGCAACGTAGCTGTGAACACACTTGTAACTAAATCATTAACAGACTTTGTACTTAAGAGATTAGCTTATTTACAACGTTGGCTGTAAAGTTACACAAATTGCATGAGAAATGCTTACTTAAGCTTATGTAGCATGAACATGAAATTAACAAGCAGTGAGTAGTTTAATAACATAGGTCTGCGAACTTAAACTTCATTAAAGTTGTTTTGGTTTTAATTAAATGTTTTCTATCACGTAAAGATTTTTTACAAATGTTGAAGAAAAAAAAACTCTTACTTATATCCAATTATTATTTCGTTTACCACAATGAAATTTTTTTATTATTATGTCTGGGTTCCAGAACGATCGATAATACTCTCACGTCGCGATTGGTCTAGAGAAATCTATAGCCAATGGTTGTCAACATTTTAAGGATAACAAAATGTGACCCGATTTCAATGAAAATTATTCATTTATGTAAAAGTAGATATGACGTTTTGTGAAAAATCTGTACATGATAAAAAAAATGGATATCATTTTCGCATTCAGCATACAGGAATTTCTGTAGAACATGTAAAAATATCAAGATAATAAAACCATCGCAGGCCTGTGTAATAAGAATATCATGTATTTGTAACAGTTTATTATTCGTCAGTGCAGCGCTCAGTAAAAAAGAGTGATTCAAGCCGTTGACTTATATCTATAACTTAAACATTTGGAAAAAATGTTTTATTTATATATATATAAATTTCAAAACGAATATAATAAATATATGTAACGAATATTTCTTAGAAATTGTTTAATTTTTGGTTGATTAATGAGAATGGAGTGACAAAATAATAATCGGCATCATAAGGTTACATTATAGAATTAAAGTTGATATCACACAAAATATAACAGTAAATATCTAATATATTTTTTGTAGTTGTTTGGTGATGCTGCTTTCGCACAGACTGTCCTTGAAAAAAGAGGTGTCAGTGATGTGTTTGCTGTTGTTTTCGGATGGGGTGTTGGAGTGATGATGGGTCTGGCTACTGCTATGGGAGTTTCAGGTTTGTCTACGAAAATGAAGATAGTTAATATACTAATTACAGGAGAATTTCAAGAATGATGGTAATTTGTATATTATGTCACCTTAAAAATAAATTAAAACCTAACTCTTTTCCTGCTTTAGTTCATTTAATGGTTTTTATGGAAAGTAACTTAATCTATCATCATTTACATGCGTTTCGAGCGTCACACGTGACGCTCATATGAAGTTCTCTTCTGACCTCTTATGTTGAACTAAAATAACCGGTTCCTATTGCCACCACGAGCATCAGCTGAATATCAAATAAATGTAGCTGGGTATCACATGTGATATTCTGGCGCTTTAGCATTATGTCCTGTGAATCACATGGGATATTCAGGTGCTTTAACATTATGTCCTGTAAATCACATGACAGGTATAGGGTTTGAATAATCTAAATATTTTAAAAAATAATAGTTGAAATAATAGTTGACATCAGACTGTGAAATCTGGTCTAAGCCTAATTAGTTGACTGAAATGTGTATAACTGAACACTGCTTGGATAATCATGTTAATTTCACTACCATACGAAACTGAGCTGACTTGTATGCCAATTTCCGAAATCTCATTTTCATGTTTTTGTTATGTTATTAAATAAATTAATAATTAGTTGAAAATTTAAACTGAACGAAAAACACAGATAGAAAGTTACAAAGCTGTTGGTCTCTGAATTCAATCTTAAAGTGAATCAGTTGGGTTTATATTTCTTTACTCTTTAAAATACATATCTTGGAGCACTTCAGTGAATATAACTTGAATACAGTCTAAGTTTCCAACAGTCTGTTCTCTTTAAATATGGGCAACTATATATGTATTATTATATAGATTGATACTTAAACTTATCACTTACTTCTTCCACTCATAACAGGTGGCCACATCAACCCTGCGGTTACCGTAGCATTTGCAACTCTAGGAAAGTTTCCGTGGAGGAAAGTGCCAGTGTACTTGGTCGCTCAACATCTGGGAGCTTTTGTGGCTTCAGCAATCATATACTTCAATTACATAGGTAAACTTGTTTATTTTGGGCCCCAGTGTTCAAAACCAGCATTCTAGTGATCGTGCAAAAGAATATAAATTGATTAATATACATTGAATTTTTAACAAAACATTACGGGAAATTGACAACATTTTTCAATTAAGGTTGTTTTTACTTTCATCCCAATAAAGATTTTTAGTATAAAGTATAATGTTCGAACTTGCTTACCACGACATGTAGAAAGTTTGCAGACAAATCCAGCATGTAAACATAAATGAGACCATAAACTTTTGTAATTTGCTCATAACCGTGAGAACAAGAAACTTAAGCGGGATATGTTAGTTGAACTTTGATTTGTTCACGTGCGAAAACTGCAGTACTGTTGTGAAGCTATTTCCTACTCATTTGCCACAACAGAACGCTCAGAGATACCAGTCACTAAACAAAGGATCATACAGCACCTGATATAGAATTATAAATACGGTAATGACACCTGAGATAGTATAAACTTTAGAATTATTCATTTCTTTAACCTCCCATCTCAAGTACTAGACGTTCGTTTTCATGTCTGTCTGGTTATTTCAAGTAATATTACGAATGTAGCAAGGTTTCTGTTGTGACGCCAGATGGCGCAATAATACATATTGCGTAAGTAAATGAAACAACAGCATACTGAGTTATTTAAACTGCTTAGAATTTTATTTAAGTAGAACAGGTTTAACTGGCCCGGCCAGGTGATTAGGACGCTCGACTCGCGATCTGCGGGTCGTGGGTTCGAATCTCCGTCCCACCAAACATGCTCGCCCTTTCAGCCTTGGGGGCGTTATAATGTGACGGTCAATCCCACTATTCGTTGGTAAAAGAGTAGCCCAAGGGTTGGCGGTGGGTGGTGATGACTAGCTGCCTTCCTTCTTGTCTTACACTGCTTAATTATGGATGGCTAGCGCAGATAGCCTTCGTGTAGCTTTGCGCAAAATTCAAAACAAACCAAACCAGGTTTAACTAAGAAAGATATTAATATCACGGTTGAACAACTCATACTCCTGCAAAAGGTGTTAAGTATGAAACATTCTCATATAACCATTAAAATGTCTTACTGGATTACGAAAAGTGTTTCAGTTAAACATGTCAAAGTCTGCTATTAATCAACTACTTTATGTTGAATGCTTAGAGGACATAAGCCAAGTCAGAATAGGAAGATTTACAAACCAACCTAAAAGATATCACATGCATGTAACTAATTCAACTTCCAAGTTTCTGAACGAAATTTAATAAATCCCACAACAAGAAGACATAATGACAGGAAAAGATTATGCGGAAATAGGAAATTCACTTTTTGGTCTCAACATGAAATTTTATAATTATACAATATGTAACACGTTTAGTTACATGCACCAATTACATATTGTATTAATTAATGTATTTTAACTTAAATTTAAACTTCTTTTATGCTACAAACACATGTACAATATTCTGTCTTTGATAACAGTCTGCAGGTGTTTTTGGTATATATATATATTATGTAACTTTACTGTATTCAAAATATTACATTTCACATACATTTGTACTTACTCTTAAACACTACTACTAACATCCTTTTCTCTCTCTTTTCCTTGTTTGTAAAGCTGCTTTATTTACATTGGATTTGGTTACTAGAGTTATTATAAATAATCACTATTAACTATTCAGAACATATCAGTGTTCACTGTATTCTAACATTATATCATTTTCTACTTAACTTAGCAAAAAAAAAAAACAACAAAAAAAAACAACAAAAAAAACATTACAACACTAACCAAGCGTATTACATTTCTGTGGTGCATAATGCAATATAAGCAAAAGAGGTCAATATAGAATTGTTTTTCGCATTAGATAAGACTACAATTTAAAACGATTCAAAACTATGTTGAGAGTTGAAGACTACTAAATATCATATCAAAAAATCCTATCATAAAGATATTCATGAATCCCACGAAGTTCAGACAATAAGAAGTACCACAATAAGCTCATGAAATCCTATAATCAGGAGATTCATGAATCCCGTGAATTTCAGACAATAAGAAGTACCACAATCAGCTCACGTTGCCAACACCATTGTTATCTAAAAGTGATTAAAACAAGCTCGGCGTGTTTAGCATATTCATGTTGATTAAATTATAAAGTTTTTTATAATATTTTAACTTAGATGTTACATAGAATTAAAGCTTTGATATCAATACTCTTTTCATTGCAACCTTGCAACTCAACCTTGCCCTTATATCACGTTATTCAATGTTCGCGATCTGTTTTTTATAAAGATGGATAATGATAAACATATTGATGCAAAGGGATAAAAATAAAATTTAACCTCCAAATTGTGAAAAAAGCAGTGGCGTATACTAAATCATATCAAACTATATGTAATATATATATATATATATATTCATACCCTTATACCATAGAAATATGTTAACTTATTGTTCTGACGTCATTTTTCTGGATATCATGAGACAATATAGTAACTTTTTATTGTATTAGACTATTTCTTACCAGATTTTACATAAAGTTATCTTTCTGTAAATTTTACTTCCATATTCATAGATCGATAAATGATATTCAAAAGTTATTAAAACAGCTCCAATTTTAAATTAAAGTGTAAGTATGATGTAATGGGATTTCAGAACATACAAACTTCTTAAAAGAAGTAAAATGTTGCATATTTTTTCTTTCACTTCAGTAAATAACTTTCCTTTTCTTTTTATGAACGTGGTAAACCTCATCTATTTCACATGTGTATTTCCATTTTTAAATAAATTAAAATTCGTACTTGTTCTATTTAACAGACGCTCTTAACTGGTATGATGGTGGAAACAGGGCAATCCTGGGTGAAACTGGTTCGGCCTACATCTGGGCTACCTATCCTAAGGAGTATGTGTCCACTGCTAATTGCTTCTTGGACCAGGTGAGCTTGATCATATATGTGCAAATACAATTTATCCTGTCGGTTGATCAAAATTGTTTCAACATCTACTTATGTCCTACCTCGTTGTGAGGTGATTAAATGCCAGTTCGTCCATGGTATCAGATTTTTATCCTAATGACTTCATATTAAATTTGTGAAGCATTGATAATAAGTATTTAACACGATTTTGATATCTGGTATTCGGCATTTTCAACCATAACAGCGCCATGTGGGACACATAGGCTAAACTACAAGTTAGAGACCCATACGGTTGAGACATAGCCATCCTTAATTTATTCTTGCTGATCAGAAGTAGGTCAACCAGTTAGCAGCACCCATCACCTACTCTTAATCAAACAGGTGGATTCACTGTCACAGTTATAATGCCTCCATAGCTCAAAGTGCGAAGCGTGTTAAACAGCATATCGCGCCTTTAATCTTGTAATCCTCAGCCTGGAATGCAAACCACTAAACCATTCAAAGACAATAAGATTCAACCTGTGAGTCTCATTTAACGACGCGAATTGCCCATGTATGTGGTAGAGATCCAGATTTTGAAGCTGACGAGCAGAGTTCGAATCTGTGAGATACCACAAAATGTTCACTGCGCTTTAATCTGTGGTTGCTGTATAAGAGTGACGCTCAATCCCTAGGCGTGAATGGTGGATGGTGGAATTCTGATGATTGGTTGTATTCCTCTTAGTTCAAAATTAGGGACGGGGGGGGGGGGAACTTAGTAGTTTGGCCATAGTTACGAGATAGAAATACAATTTCGATTATAAAAAAACAAACAAACGCGAATGATAAGTTACTACACTTACTTTATTCTCGCAATTTAGATGTATTTATAATCTGTTGAATGTGACTTAAAATATAGTCAACAATTTAACTTTAGAGAAATTTGAAAATATTTATTTCATATTATAAATATCATCTTAAACGCTTAAAAGAAGAAAAAAAACTTTTACTTTTAATTCTAAAAAAATCAAAACCAATATCTGTATATCATCAGCCAGCCTTAAGAATGTTCAAGACTAAGGTTATTAATTTTCCTTTTCCTCCAGACATAACCTTTCCTCTTATAACAAACTATTTTGTTTATATTTTAGTAAGAAAAAAAAAAACGTGTTTCATACGATTGAGTTTCCATAATTTGTTTCTGTAAGTAATGTTTACTTGTAATGTTGAAATAATTTTAAATCAATGGAATTTATAAAAATTACATGTGTATTCTTTTAACCACTACACTTTCACATATCGTAATAACTTTGAATAAAATTGAAATGTCTTAGTCTAACTCTAGCAATTTTATTTTTTATACTAGTTATTAAAAAAGTTGATGTTCCCTCATTAGAGTAAGTTAAAGTGTGTGATATATTTGAGGAAATGTAGAGAAATGTGCCATACTTTAAAAGAATGCGTCAAACTGTTTCAAGCAAGTGAGTCATAAGTATCAAAAAGACCATGAACTCTGAAGGTCATATTGAGAAAAAGAAAAAACTATGCGATTAATATCTTTATTCTACGCAATTCAGACTACTAATACAAAACTTTTACTCCATATACATGATATATAAATCACGAATTTTCTTTCTTGTGTATTTCACTGTTCAATAATCTGTAATTTTTGTTTAAAAGATTGTAGGGACCGGTATCCTAATGTTTACTGTGTTGGCAGTCGTCGACGAGCGTAACGTCAAGTTTCCGCTCTGGGGCGCTGCCATCGCTCTTGGTTTCATGATATGTGCATTGGCTATGTGCTATGGTGCCAACTGCATGGCTGCCCTAAATCCTGCTAGAGATTTCGCTACCAGAGCTTTCACCGCTGTTGCTGGTTGGGGTGCAGAACCATTCAGGTGAGTAGGAACTGTTAGTGAAAAATATTAGGCCTTCTTAAATATGCTCTATAGGAGTATTATTGCAATATTGGGTTTTTTTATGTTATAAGTATTTGGGTATTAAATTTTAGCTAAATGCCATTTATATTTTGCGTAGCTTTGTGCTTAATTCCAAACAAACACTTTTACAATTACAGAGAAGTACACGGATTTAACTGATATATTTCCCATTGCTTTGTCAATGAGAAAGATAAAAATGTCTTTGCCAAAAAGAAAAAAAAAAAAGTGCTTGAAAAGTTTGAAGTGTTATGATTCCTCTCACCACATGCTTTCATAATGAAGTAAAGTATAGGTTTATCGATAAAAATACGAAATTCTATAACCCGAGCGCTTTTAAAAGATTTTCCTATGATAAAGAAGGTCAGTACTTCGAAAACACTCGTGTTATAGGGTTTCTTATTCTTGTGTTAAATTGATTGTTTTTTAACATACAAGTTTTCCTAATATCATGTATAAAGGTTATATATATATATATATATATATATATAGAAATATATATA